ATTCTTGGCGACAGGTGTAATTTGGGAACAAACACTCCTTCTGTCTGAAATCAAAGCCCCTAGTGAGACTACACTTTCAAGGTGTATTTTCATTTATCCCAATGTCGATGGGAAAATGTTACATTCACTTTAGTATTGTTTTGTTCAATGTCTCTATACATAGATGGCTCTGCCAGTGCTTAGCCACAAAGGAGTCAATTTGTAGATCTTGTGACATCACCTTCTTTTACTAATGCTATCAATATCAACACTGATATTTTTGTTCTAAACATTATAATTACTATAATGTTATTGACAGTACTAACAGCAGTATTAAATACCAGAAAATAGTACCGAAAATCAAGGAAAAAGATAAACAGGTGAGACAGGTAGTTCTCATACTTGGCTCATTGGTGACAGTACTTGTGGAGCCATCTATATATTTTTTAAATCACTAAATTAACCCATTGGATCTGGTTGCGTCACAGTAATCACGGTGCTGAAAATACGGACAGTGGGTTTCGTAAGTAGCCAACATCCCGGGTGTACAGTGCGTAGAAAGGGTATACACAAACATCCATGAGCAAAACTCTGTTCCTCCCCTTTCCAAAGTTATTGTGTCAACTTTTTTAGCCTTTTTGCCATTTCCCAATGTCCATAATTATTGTTTGATTTGCTCTATCCCGATGGAAATACCTTATTTTCCTTGCACAGAATCCATATCATCTCTCTATGTAGTAAATAACTAAGTACAAGAAAAAAAAAGTATGAAAATTTTGGTTATGTGTCACATATCTAATTTTTTGGTAATTTTCAATTTTCCGTAATACAACCTGCTCCACCTGTCATAGCAGCCAGGAATACAGTACAAAGCATGGAAATGGCAAACTCCCTGGAGGAGGTACTCTTCCAGACACGGTTTATGTATGTTACATCCCACATTTGTTTATCAACAGGAATAATGCTAAAGCCCCCTTCTAAGTGCCAAAAAAGTCACACTCCAAGAGGTTTGTGTACTCTTGGTAAGTCTTTTCTGTCCAATGACAGCATGTTTATGTCACCCTGCCCTCAACCCATCTTTTTCCATGATGGGACCATGACGTCATCTGGATTGTAGGGGTTAAGAAGGCATGAAGGGTGGCTGACAAACATGTCCAGGGAAAATTTGGCTATAGGCCAGAGTGATGCAAATTTGACTTATCAAAAGTGCACAAGGCTCTTGAAGGATGATTAAACCCATTTGGCATTTAGGAAAGGACTTTACCATTACTTCCATCAATAAACACATGTGGAATGTACATCCATGAGCCATGACTGGAAGAGTGCCAGGATGCTATTTCTATGCTCAGGATCTTACTGGTAGTGAAGGTTGTATTACAGAAAAATTTATTATGGAAAATTTCTAAAATGAGACACAAAATGTTTTTTTTGTTATATGCACTGAGTTATGGATTACCTTGAGAGATGATTTGGAGTCTGTGCAGGGAAAACTGTCTATTACCATCTGGATAAGGCAAATCAAATGACAAATAGAGACATTGGAAAATGTACAAAGAGCTAAAAATGCTTATGCATAAAAAGAAAAAAATAACATTGCATGGGGTCTTGTCACCACACACGAGTGTTTGCGTGCACCTGGCCTATAAGGCGCACATTCGTCAGAGTTACTGCTCAAGTAAGCCTAATGCCTTATTTTGGGCTATGTGATGGCAGTGAAGCATCCAGATCCACGAGTGCACAAAACCCTTTGAGGGTGACTAGCCTCATTTGGCATTTAGAAAGCTTTTGCATTATTTCCATCTATAAACAAGTATTGAATTTAAAGTTTGTGAGCCATGACTGGAAAAGTAAACATCACTGTAAAGGAGGGGCATATAGTCTTGTCACTGCATATGAGTGTTTGTGTGCACCCATCTACAAGCCGTGCACTAGTCTGAGTAGCCACTCACATATGCCTAAGGCCAGCATTTTGGGCTATGTGACTGCTGTGAAGAAACTGGATGCAATGGGTTGGTATAGTTAACAATTAGCCCCTGGATGATGTGGATTTACATCATGACTAAATTGGGCATGGCTACGGATAACTAGTCATTAATGTAATTTTACCATGATGCACGCATTATGAGGTACCTTCAAGCCCATATGTCACATGTTCTGGGGCACTGCCTCTGGTAGAGCAGGACGTGATGCTCAAATTGGTTTTTGTTTTGTAGAAAGGGCAATATTCAGCACAAAAATCATTTGCCTGCTATACTTGGAAGATATCATACACCAAAATACTGTCCTCTGTCTGAAACATGCGTCAGATGCAAGCCCAGTCGGCTGCTCATACTCCCCAGAGCATGGAAATGGTGTCCTCCCTGGAGCCAGTGCTCTTCCAGTCACTGCTTACACACATTACATTCTACATTCGTTTATTGATGGGAAAAATGCTAAAGCCCCCTTCAAAGTGCCAAAAGAGTCAAATCACACTCCAAGAGGTTTGTGTACTCATGGGGAGTCTTTTCTGTCACTCTGGCCT